TACCAAACGTTTATGTCTCCTAATAAATGACCCCAGTAATATGCATTCACCTACACAAGAGAGAGCACCGGTGCGGTACAGCAGGCTAAGTTTTCACTTTGGCTACAGAAGGCTCATCCACAAAACTGCCTTGGGCACATCGGTCCTCTGGCAACAGATAAAAAGGTAACTGTATATTAAAGGTAAAGGTAAAGGTTCCCTTGCTCGAAAGCCAGTCGAGTCCGACTCTAGGGTTGCGGTGCTCATCTCCGTTTCAAAGCCGAAGAGCCGGCGCTGTCCGAAGACGTTTCCGTGGTCATGTGGCCGGCATGATTAAACACCAAGGTGCACGGAATGCTGTTACCTTCCCACCAAAGTGGTACCTATTTATCTACTTGCAATTTCTTGCTTTCGAACTGCTAGGTTGGCAGGAGCTGGAACTAGAGACGGGAGCTCACTCCATCATGCGGCACACTCGGGTCTCGAACTGCTGAACTACTGACCTTCCACAGCCTGCAGTTCAGCGTCTTAACCACTTGAGCCACCGCAGCTCCTTAACTGTATATTAACCTTCCCTAAAATAGTTGTTGGCAAGCTAGGAGACAAGATGGATGAAACCACCACTTCCAAACTGACCACCGCCACTCCGGTTTCGGTCTCCATCTTGGCCAAGCATACCCTTCTGCCCAGACAGCTCCGCATTATGGCAAGAACTCTACTCAGAACTCAGCTGATTCTATTTTTAAAGAAGCCTTAATGTTCTAAAGGAGGCTGATGAAGTCAGGAAATGAAACAACAAGAAAAAAACAAATACTAGGGACAATATTGACTTTGCATTTCAGTAAATCCCAGATTTATGGCTAAGTGGAAAGAGCTTTGCCTGCCTCCGGTGAAAGGATGCAGCACTCGGCAATGAGAGGCCTCATCTGTGCCTGGTGAGTGCCATGATAGAAGTCAGTTTAGCCAGCAGCTGGTTTAAAGAACTGGGAACTAGGGGAAGTGCTAAAAGCAACTGTGCTTGCACCTACAAAGCCTTGAGATCATCTCCTGCCCTTTGTTTTAGCACCCTTCCTAGTACTGACCTTTGCAGACCACCTTCTCTTACCCCATTCTCCCATGCAAACTTCAGGAAAACACCCCCCGGCCGCCCCACACACACTCCCAAGCCTAAATAAAAGAGGTATATACCAAGCAACAGCCCCATGACTGTGAAACTCCCTTCCTATGTCTGGAAACTCCCCAAGCCCAAGCCTCAGCATCATTTAGAGACACTGCAAGACCTTCTAAGCTGGGACGGCTTTTCTTCGCTAGAGCTGAAAAGCAGCAGGATCGCTTTAATTGACTGCTGTATTTCAGGATATTCTTCAGTGCCACATTTTGACACTGTGTGCTTAATTTAGTTTGCCCCTTGTTAACGCTCATTCTCACCTCTTTTGGACCTCTGCTGTTCTTGACACGTCTGCAGGACAGCTGCACACCAAACAGCAAGAGGGATACATACGAGCACACTGGCTCATGCTGGGGTGAACACATGAAGCTGCCTTATACCTACGGAGTCAGACCACTGGGCTATCGAAGTCAGTCATTAACGGGTTAGAGCTCTTCAGGGTCTCAGGTGGAGATCTTTCACACCACCCACTATTTGAACCTTTAAATTAGAGACACAGGTGATTGAACCTGGGACACTCTGCATGCCGAGCAGATGCTTACTGCTGAGTCACAGCCCCACCCAAGCTTAACAAAACTAACGAGCACAGCACTGAGAGGATGAGAGATTCAGCACTTCTTAGTTTTCTTCAGGGAAGTGACACTTTAATAATAATAAGAAGAAGAGATTTGGATTTATACCCCGCCCTTCGCACAAGAGTCTCAGAGCAGCTTACAATCTCCTTCCCTTCCTCTCCCCACAACAGACACCCTGTGAGGTAGGTGGGACTGAGAGAGCTCTGAGAGAACTGCTCGAGAGAACAGCTCTGAGAGAACTGTGACTGACAAAAGGTCACCAGCTGGCTGCATGTGGAGGAGTGGGGAATCAAACCCAGTTCTCCAGATTAGAGTCCACCGCTCTTAACCACTACACCAAACTGGCTCTCAACTCTCAAAGGCATCAACTAACTTTATTCCCCATACAATAAATCTGTCACAGGGAACTCCCAAGATAAAATCCATGCTTCTCTAACACCTTTCCTGAAGGAGAAGTAAGAAGCAGAACCCCTGAGTAGGTACACCCATCCAGGATGTGCTGCAGCCTCCACTAACTGTTCCTGCATGTTCCAGAGCAAAACTTACTGAAAAGCCAACATGGGCCCCGGTCACACGGCAAAGTTGCCGTGGGAGAGGCACGGAAGGTGGGCGGATTATCCAGGCACGATCACACCCCAACATCTGGGAAGTGGAGCGCACCCGTGGCTTACCGCCAACAATGTGCATTTAAAAACTATTACCTCCAAGGTACTAGTAAACATTTGCCACGGGCTGCCTCCAGACGCCCGTGGTGTGATCGAGCTGGCACACGGCATTCCCCTCAGCATTCCTCTCCGGTCCCTCGTTTACCCGCTGGCACAGAGGGAAGGATCCGTGCTGTGCCGCTGGTGAGTCTGATCGCGTAATTGCGGATCAAACTGCGCCGGGGCAATTAGCCACGCCTCCCCCCCCCGGGGCGATATCCGGCCCGTGGGCCCAGGGCCATGAAGTATTGGATCAGTTACCTAACTGATTTCACTGTATTATGGCTTTAGTATTTGTGTGTTCTCTGAGCCTGTAGGGTAAGGGCAAGCTACATGGTCACATGAATAAATCACCTCTCTCTTTTTTTTACGCTCACATTCTGCACAGGTTAAAGGACTAGATGGTAAGGGACCCATGAACCCTAACAGAGACTGAGAGACAAAGAGCTCATTTTCCCTAGCTGCCAGGTTTAACAAAGCCTTACTCTACACAACAAGGATTTGCATAGTTGAATGTCAGTTGGTCAAAGTGGGAGACAGATGACCCCCCCCCCAAATTTACTGGGGTCCTGATAAAACCAAATTCAGTTTAAGAATCCTGCCTGTGAGTCTATCAGGATGCAGCAAGCCCCAAGCACCCCAATTTTAGCACCTATCAGGTACTGAGGAAGGGAGAGAGGGTTGAAAGTACTGGGCTCTTTATCGATGTTCATCATTTGTCTTTGTAGCAATGAACTCCCCCATAATAGAGAGTATCACAGGATCGATGTTCTTAATTTAAAAATAAAGGGCCTGGGCTGTCTCTGCCATTACTGAAGAGTCAAGAAGCCAATCTTTCTTTGACAGTAGTGGGTGCCGAAAGAGGCACCGTCTTAATTGCTAGAAAGCTACACACACACATGAGGCAGGGTGCCAAGATCCTGTTCCCAAGAAAGAGATTTAAAAAAAAAACATCAGAAGGATCTGGTTGGCAGCTAGGTTCAAGTCACAGGGCAGCCCTCTCCTGCACCAAACGTCCACATACTCTAAAGGCAGCCTGCATCGGAAACAGCCCTCGCTTCAATGACATCAGCTGGGATGGCTGATGCAGCCACTGCAAAACTATTGATCACTTCATGGCAGCTAAATCTGGCATCCTTAACCATGAGTAACCACCAGCCCAAGCAGTACCTGCTGTTTCCTGAGTGTAACAAGGAAACAACAAGGAGCATATAAATCAGCGCTTTGCAGGGAGCTTGAACTGTGGAATCCGAAAAGTAGGCAAGGTTCATAAATGGACCTGGAGTGGTCAGAGGAAGTTCACCGGGGGGGGGGGGATAGGATTTATTGTAATTTTTCATTTTAATTTATATCCTGAGTCATCCCATGCTCAAGGCAGCTTCTAAAGTAATAAAACACACGTTTCTAAACTTAAAATCCCATTTCAAATACCAATAGGACAGCATAACACAACAGGAAGCTCTGTCCTGCCAAAACAGTGGGATGCAGTCTTGCTGCAAGTCCAATAGGAAGGTACACTGCCCAAGTTCTTAGGGTAGGCAACTCCAAAACCATGGGGCCACCACGGGAGAGACCCTCCTCCTACAACCCATAGTGCTACCAAAAAGAAGCAGTCCAGTGGTTAGTCTTGTTCTGAAGGGCATTCGTTGATGCTCTTACACCAGTTTGCTTTGCCCCACGAGACCCACCTTCTTTGTCGGTTCCTGACCAGGAATATTTCTGGAACGACTTATTAGATGGGAGAGGGTCCATCTCCAGCACCTTATAGATCTGACCAAAAGCCGACAGTCTCAATGCAAGCTGCAAAAAACAAGACCAGTTATTAGTCTCAAGGGATCCCGTCCCAGTACACTTCCATATTCATGACAAAAGGTTGATCCAAGCAGTCAAGTTGATCCACAAGCCAAGAGCAGGACAGCAAAGAGTATCCCATTCCCAAGCTAGCTGTCAATAAGGAATAGCTAAGCTGCAGGCAAAACAATGCCAACATATAATTCCTGCAAGGAAAAGACTTCAATGCTGTGGGCAAACAAGAGGCCCATTGCAAGAGGGGGTGGGCAAGGAAACTGGAGATACTACACCCATTCTTCCCTGCTTCCTCCTCTCCCAAAGGAGAGATGCAAACCATCTACATCAATGATGGACAGAGTACACCCAGGGCAGGATAGTTATTACGGTGCTGGATTAATACTTGGGAGACCCAGGTTCAAATCCCTTCTCAGACACGAAGCTCACTGGGTGACCTTGGGCCAGTCACTCTCTCTCAGCATAACCAACCTCATAGGGTTGTTGTGAGGATAAAAGAGAAGGGAAAAGACATGAAAGATAGGCAGTCTCTTTTTATCAAAAGGACATTTCTAAGATGCATATAATACAGACATACACTAAGGACAAAACTCATTGGCTTATTCTTGTTGTCACTGGAGATGGCCAAAGGGCTGCTTGAGATCTCCTTATCTTAAACTGCAGGCATATTTTACCTGGGCACTATGGGTAATGGCTTCTCGTTGTTGAACAGTCAGGTTGGACAAGGCATCTGTCGGCTCCCGCTCACAGGGGTCATGTAAGCCAGGCCCACCTACAGGGCGAGGAAGCAGGATAATTCAGGTTAAGGCAGAGGCTGTAACTCATTTCTTCCTCACAGGGCTGTCGTGAGAAGGCAAGGCTGCGGCACCAAAATTAATTTGGCCCATGAATAAATGATGGCTCCTGAGAATAAGTTTTTGGAATGCCATGTGGAGGCCAGCCAGGCTCGGCTCCTTTTGACCGTTAGGAAGCTGGTTCTAAACTTTTGTTCCCCCAAACGTTTAAGCTGATTCTTTGCTGCCAAGGCCGCTGGTTTTATTGATTAATTATTTTACACACTTTGTGCATTACAGCCTTTTAAGTTGTTGAAATGGTTTTAAATCTTGTGTGTGCCACAACGAGGCAAGAAGCCCGGATAAAAACTAGAAGGAGGGAATCTAAAGAAGAGCTACATTAAAAGACCCGTCCAACGTTGTCTGCTGCTACTGAAAGACTGGGCTAGCTCACTTAGAGTGATTGCATCTAAAACCTCTCACCACCACCCAACTGCTTGGAAAAGTAAACAAATAAACCTGAGTCCCACTCTTTATCCTCCCCTGCAGAAGAAAGCAAGGGTTGGATCAGAGACTTATGAAGTCCTGAGACACCAAAAGCACCACTGCCACTCAGTTTGCTCCCAGTGAGTACTGCCAAGTACAACTCTTCTCTCCCCCCCCCCACCACCACACACATACACTTAATTATATTTTTGTTTGGGAGCACACCAGCATCCTCATAGACAGTGCATGGGCTTTTCTGCTTGGGGCAAAATAGGATGCCTACGGTACCCCTGGTCTGGACAGAAGCCAGTACATTCCCCTGAAGATCATATGCCTCCTAAACCAACCTTCTCTCTGCTCAGTTCCCTACCTGTGAAATGGGAGCAATGGGCAACCTCCATCAGAAGGTAGTTGAGAACAAAATTATTATAATTACATCCTATCTAACAGAAACAATGTAACTGCTAGCACTGCCTATAGTCATGGATCTTTAAAGTACACAAGGCTGTGTGTCTTATAAAGACAACAAAATAGACCACAATTATTCTATGGGCTTGAAGAAAGACTTTGTGAAGGAAGCCCTCACATAATTGCTGGGGCAGCTCTTACCAGGTAACAGGATCCCCGATGCCAAACACTCCATCACTCGCCTCAGAGCTTCACCGGCACCCAAAGGTCTATTGCATGTGCCGATTGCTTTCTCACATATAAGCTCCAGTGGCTACAAAACATTTGGATTGTGGTCAGTGCTGATGCCACCAGTGGGGAACAGCAACATTATTCCATATCATTTAAAAAAAAAAAAAACAGTTCTAAAATCAGTTCTACCATGAGGGATGGAGACAGCCAGTAGTGGGGCCTTGAAAGCTATATTTTATGTGGCCTGTGTCTTGAGGGGTTGCAGGGTACTGACAATTTGAACTACTGGGGCACAACTGGGTTGAACGTTTTGGGGCTTACAATGGGAGCTGCATACGCTATATATTAATAAATGTAATTCAGTCAGGCAAACAAACCACGCATGTGCATGACCACAGAGAGAGACTTAGACCCCTCAAAACATGTGCTACAATGACTGCTGCATTTCTCCACTTTTGCTTCAGGCCAGCATATGGCAATAAGAGCACCATCTACAGACATCTCCCATTCAGGCTCCAGTGAAACAAATGGGAACTGCATCGAATTCCATTCAGTTCAACAAGACTCATGCGAGAACTCCCCGGTGGGTTGTATTCAGTGTAGGTAAATATAATCTACTTCCCTTAAGGGCTATCAAGGTCATTCTGCACTGTGCCAGCAGGAAGCAACAGTTAAGGCACTGTTTAAAAGGGAAGTGGCCAAACTGAGAAGGATTTTCCATGGGCACATCCTCAGTGTAAGACTGGGGTATGCTGACAAGAGCAAGTCTCTTCAGGCTTCTCATAATTAAGGAACACAGTAATCCAAGTTCCTTAACTGCAAAGTCAGTTCTGCACAGCACCCTGCTTTCACCTTTCTCATCTCAACAATTTACCAAATGCCATTGGTTCTTCTCTACCCCAGTACTCACCCATCCTTTAAGCGGCGCCCAAGTGGGGACTCTGTTGCACAAATCTCGCAGAATACGCAGCACAATTACACAGGACTTTAGTCCATTTGCCCTGGCCTAAAACAAACAGAACTGTTCCAATCCACCTGCAAAACACTCAACCTGCACAGCTCAAAAATAAATTTAGGGTTTTTTTAAAGAAATGCAGAGTTTTTAGGAATTGGCTTTTTTGAACAAAAAATTACTATATTAGCATTTTAAAAACCTAAACTCATGCAAAAATCAAAAACAATGAAGTTAACCCCCCACCCAAAAAGACAAAGAAAAGAAGAGAGGGAAAACTGTTCATTTTTACAGAAGGCGGGCTTTAAGAAAGACAAAAGCATCAGCATTATGACATCGCTTCACAAACACACTAAATGAGCTGGCTCATCTGCCATCAACAGTGGAGAAAGCTGTACTGATAAATCTGTAAACACTCAAAGTTGTTGAGTAGAGAGAGATACTGAAAAAAGCTAAAAATTAAGAAGGAAGGCATTTCAGGAGGGGTCTCAAATTAAAAACCTTGCAAGGCTACGATAAGGTAAGAACATAAAGCCAACCTGGAACCATTTGGCGTGCCGCAGAGATGCCAAAGCATCAAGGCATTTCTGCCTGTCCAGTAAGTCCGGAGGATCTTTCATCGCAACACTGTCTACTAGGGAAATGGGAATATAAGAAAACAAAAAGAAGAGACAGACACAGTTTGACCAAGGGGTTTCTGTCATAAGTACACAGAACAGTGGCAGCATGACGGGGAGTTAATAAGGCTCCCAGAATTTCTTGCTTTCCCCCCCCAGACGTACAAAATGTAATTTTTAATTCAGCTTTTTTCCCCAATGGTAGTAAATATGCATAGATGCAACAGAGGCAAAATTAAGGCATTTGTTCAATGGCCGGTCAGTCAGTCAATCTGGGATCTTATTAAAAAATGTAACACGTTTGGGGCAGACAATATAAAGTGCAGCACTTTGCCTGATTCCTGAGAGCTGGGGAGAGGATCAGCATACTTCAAAATGTGGAGTAACATTTTGTTGCCTGGGACTGTCAGGGAGAGAGTTGCCTTCCTGATGCAATGCTAATTTTTTTGCCGTGTTGGAGCATACCATTTCTGTTCATATCCTGAAAGGCTCCTTTTCCCCAACTTGCAATTTATTCAAATGATCAGATGTTGCCATAAATATCCCAGGGGTCTGGGAGCCCTAGGCAGTCAGAAATCTGAGGATAGTGCCCCAAAATTGATTTCCCCCCCCTTTCCTTTTAGCCCAAGCTTCAACCCAGAAGCAAGATTTTGCCAGTCAACAACAGACATCTCTGCTGAAATGTACACTCTGCTTTTAGGGAGTTACTTTTTGAAATGATTAGACACAATTTTTGCCCATGGCAACTGTATTTATTTTAAAAGGGAAAATACCACACTATTTTAATAGATAACACAGGTAACTGAAGCTGATGAGGTCTCAGAGAAGCACACAAGGAATAAGTCACCTCATCACTGAGTTACTGAGTACATCGCTTTGTGCTTGCCGGGGTCCCTGGTTCAGTCCCTGGCAATGTTCCCTCTAAGCTGTGGAGTCTTGTGAGCAAAAATCCTACTTTGTGAGCTGCTGGCATTAAAGTTGTGAGCGGGTGATGTGGCTACTGCATAAATTAGTTTGCTCTGGAGCCGTGCTTCCTGAGCTGAGACAAAAATGTGTGAGCCAGAGGTTAAAAAACTGTGAGCTAGTTCACACTGACTCAGCTTAGAGGGAACACTGGTCTCTGGTCAGAAGTATCTCTGGAAAAAACCTTGGAGAGTCTCTGTCAATTTGTGTAGACACACTGACACAACTAACAGATCAACAATCTAACTCAGTGCAAAACAGCCTCATACATTCAATGTAAAACGCAACCATCCCATAGGTGGGGAGGGGGTTTTCTGAAAAGTATGCATAGCTTTTTGAATTTCAACAGAAGCCTCTTCCAAACCAAGTCAAAAAGTCTGCATCTGTCTCATCAGCAATACGTAGGCAACTTGTTAGAACACCAGATGTTCTTGGAGTTCTATTTTCTGGCATTCTCTCAAAACAACCATTTGTAAGATAGCACCTTTATCTGCTTTTACTGGTGCAAGAAGAGCTGGAGGTACAGGAAGAAAAAGGGGCTCCAGTTGATAAACCTATCTACTAGGATGCCTAGGAGATGAAAAGAGGACCTTTCCCTCTGCAATTCCACAAGGAGTTCCTCTTTGTCACTTGAGGAACACTAAAACTATAGATAAGTGGAAGGATTTAAAATTAGCAGAGTGTAAACCTCAATCAGAAGCCACGTCCGTCTTGGCTTGTGTCCCTTGGCTTTGGTGTTGGAAACGAGGAACAAAGCGCCACACAGTTATATTGTCTGACCCCTATGAGCTTTGCAGCAGATATTTGCATTGTGTTTGCATTACCCTCATCACCAGAACTGCAACAAGATTAATCTGTGCTACTCCCAAGAAAAGCTGCAAAGTCGTAAATGGGATTAGCTGCTGAATGGTTTATAAACCAAAAAAAAAGAAAAGTACTTTGACAATTTTAGTTGCTGTTAGGGGTTTTTTTCCCCCTCCCCACTTTTGTCAGCATCTTTTAGTCACTGCCGGAGGAAGGGCTGTGCCATTTGTATTCTTCAGCAGTTAAACCAGGATCTGTTGTGCGAAACAAAACATTTGATTGGGGGGGGGGGGCGGACAACAACAGAAACATCTGCTTCAAGATCATGCTTTTGTACAAAACAGCAACTGTCAATGAGTGAGTAGAATCTCTTTCAATAGTTAGGAAACGACAAGTGATTGACCTGCTGCAAGGCTGTCCTGCCAACCATTCAGAGATTACGTGGCCCCCATCTCACCAGAAAATCGTGCAACCGGGTAACCATTAAAGGCTGCTGGCAAAGCAAGCTCAAGTAAAACCGATCCTCCTTCTGTGCCTTAATGCGTTACCCGGAGGAAGATAAACCAACATGAAAGTGCGGAATTGACTTCAACAGTGCTCCTTCAGTGTTAACAGAAGAGGCCATAGTGAAATGTTACGAAGGCCTTTTGAAAACAGCAGGCCTTCAAGAAGTTCAACCTCTGGGTGCTCTTGTGGTGGCGTTCCCCGCCATTGCAGACAGTCAATATGTGAGAATTAAGTATCATAGGGAAACGGAAAGATGGAGAGGGAAGGGGGCAGCAAGGAGAGGTGGGCTGCTTGCGGCATCAGGAGTCATTTTTAAGCAATCCTCACTAGAGCAGCCATGTCGGTTCATGCTGTGCCTGCCAGTTAGGGTAGGTGAAAACGTTTGTAAAAAGGCATTCCTTTCTGCCCCGTATTTAAGAAGCACAGGTTAACATTAACCAACTTACTCCACCCTGGGAGCAGTTAGGGAGAATAAGAGGTTGTGAGCCACAAATCTGGGGTTGAATACAATTGTGTGGGACTGATCTCCAGTTTTTCGCTATCTCCTGTGCTCATTTCCTGCCTGCCAGCTGCAGCTATCTTTTCTGCTCCAATGGCCTGTGCATGCCAGCTCTCTAAGAGCAACACAAAGGTGGATGGATCTCACAGCTGCAGGGCAAAACAGGACGCTCCCTGGTTTTGTGGATATGGTCACTCCTCCCAAGATGAAAGGGACGGGGGTCAAGAATTCCACATTTACAGCCTCTGTGCCTCTGTTTCAGCTCACTTCAGCCTCCATTTCAACCCATTAAACACCAGTGGTTGAACAGAGTTCACAGTCAGATGTCCCAGGAGAACTGATGGTATAAACAAACCATTCCTAAACCACAGAATTTGGAGGAGAGAGCTTGTGAGGAGCATGAGACTGAAATACTGAAAGGCACAGATGGCTTTTCTGTACAAGACAAGAAACAAAAGCCATGTTATACCTTTTATTAGGGCCGGCCGAAATGACACAAAACATTGTGCCAGCTCACCAGAACTCTTCATCAGGCCAGATGTTACAGAAATATTCTCTTTTTAAAGTGGGGGGGAGCAGATTTTTCAGGTCAAGATTTTCAGACCTGGTCAGCATTTGGTGCTAGATGCAGACAGGCTTGTGATTTTGTTGCTTGCTGCAGATTACAGTGCTTGCATTTTGGGAAGGAGGAACAAACAATGGAAAGTCATCTCATTGGAAAAAAACGGAGTCCAGCAAAGTCCATGGAAGACCTTTAAGAACAATCATTATTACCTTGATTGTGATAGAATGGACTTATTTAGGGTGTGGTTCAGAAAAGGAAGAGCATCAAATGCCATAACCAACTGGAGCTGGTTTGTTATCTTCTGCTACAAATGCTAGAATCAGAATGTTACTTTGCAAAACGTGTGCCGCCATTTACGGTATTCTTGATTTGTTAAAATTACACTTAAAAAAGAAACCCAGGAAACCGACAACCAGAGCATGAACCTAAACACAGCAATTCCCAGAACACCAAAAACCGCTCAACACCCCCACCTTGCTCATTTGGTTAGAAGAGAAATTAGTTGACTAATCAGACCATACCGCAAGAAATCTTGGTCAGTTCCACTGGTCTGCTCCAAACACAGGCCTCTGTTTTGAAGAAATCGGCAGCAGCCATAGTGGTGGTGGTAGAATAAACTACCAATCGATATTCTCTCCTTTTGCTACCACCACATTTCTCTCTGATTGGCTTTTGTCCTGACGCAGTTTGAATCTCCACATTAGATTCATGGCTCAGCCCCCACACTCACCATTCTCCAGTCTGAAACACCCTCCAGCTCTCCTTCATTCATTCATTCATCCTCACCCCTGAACTCCCCTTTCCTCCACTTCCCACAACTCCTTCCAATCAGAGCTGCTGGGGCAGGGGACCAGATTTTTTCCCACTATAAAGAAAGAGAGCCAAGGTGTAGTATAGTGTGTAGAGTGTTGGACGAGGGTCTGGGACACTCAGAATCCCCACTCCTGCTTGGGCAACAGAGGGTGGCTGTGAGGGTAAAACGGAGGAGAGAACAATGCAAGCCACTTTCGGTCCCCAAAGGGGAGAAAGGCGAGGTATAAATGAAGGAAATAAGTAAATAAATGACAGCTGTAGAGAAGGGACAAAACACTCTAAATGTTGTATTCTCAATGCATTTTGACTGTATGCTTGAAAGGAGCCAACTCTGCCTGCTTTGGTTTATTTGCAAAGTTTTCAGGTTATCCTCAGAACACACTAAGTGTAAGAAGACATGTGTAGTGATGATAATAAAACGCAATGAACACAAACTGGCAATTAAATTTAAAAATTACTCTTTTTCTGGATCACTGTACTCTCATGTAAAGGTAAAGGTAAAGGTAAAGGTTCCCTTGCTCGAAAGCCAGTCGAATCCGACTCTAGGGTTGCGGTGCTCATCTCCGTTTCAAAGCCGAAGAGCCAGCGCTGTCCGAAGACGTTTCCGTGGTCATGTGGCCGGCATGACTAAACCCCAAGGCGCACGGAACGCTGTTACCTTCCCACCAAAGTGGTACCTATTTATCTACTTGCAATTTCTTGCTTTCGAACTGCTAGGTTGGCAGGAGCTGGAACTAGAGACGGGAGCTCACTCCGTCATGCGGCACACTCCGGTCTCGAACTGCTGAACTACCGACCATCCACAGCCTGCAGTTCAGCATCTTAACCACTTGAGCCACCGCAGCTCCTTGTACTCTCATGTACAGGTGGGCTTTATGGGGGTGCACCAGTGGGTGCTGCATGCGTTAGTAATAACTAAGCCCTGCTCTTGGCCTGATACTATTTTGGAAGAGGCACTCTGCCTTCCTGCATTGCCAGTTGCTTTTTAAAAATCCTGTTACTCCCCTGACAGAGTAGAGGGCAGGGGTTTCCCTACTGGTTACTGAATTAAATATCAGGTCGCCACCGACAGCCCTATTTGTGAACATCTGCAGGGGTGTGATCTTGTGCTAGCAGCTTTAAGCCCACAGCTCTGACTGAGTTGAGTCACATCTGCCCTATGCCACCTACTCCTCATTAACTGCTTCCCCTACAACTCACAATCATCATTCTTTCAACAAAGTTCCTGCTGCTGTTCTCTGTCGAGGAGACTTTTCTCCACCCTAAAGCTCCAGAACACCATGCAAACAATGTCCCCGTCCCCCCCCCGTCCCCGCCCAGCCTCGACATGCCTCATCCACACACCCCACACACACACTTTCCCAGCAAAGCAAAGAAAAACTGACCAACATTTCTGACAGTGATGGAAGTGTAATGGGAGGGAGGGGAGGGGGAAGCAAGGTATGTGTGGCAAGTCTAGAAATGGGGAGAGAGCAACCAGGAGGGGAGAGAATCCCTTGTCCAAATGGGATCCAGCTGCCTCGTCCGTCATGACAGAGTAGCGCCAGTTGGTCAAAAGTCTGACATTGTTCAGAGACTAAATTTTCTTGTGTGTGTTTGTGCGCGTTTGCAGAAATAGTTTGGGAAACAGAGGAAGCAATTACCATAATAAAGACTAAGTTCTGTTTAAGGGAAGTAAGAAGATGATGATACAGGAACCCTAAGGAACGTGCTTGGCTGAGTTGCTGGTTTTCCTTTAATGCTGAAGAAACATCCTCCGTGGATACCTTTTCATGTGGCAGAACAGCAAAGTAGAAGCGCGTAACAGGAGAGGGAACACGGGGAGGCATTAGGGAGGTAGAGTTTCTCAAAAGACAGAGTACACCGGGAACATTATGTGCAGCGATTTCAGGAGGAAATTTTAGCTGTTAAGTCCAGCTCTGCCCTGCCCTGCCTGCAGGTGTTCTTTGCTTAAAGACAAACACATCAATAATTAGTAGGAGAGGGAGGAGTCTAGGATGGAACCCTCACTGTGGCTGCAATTTGGGTAGGAGAAAGTGGGGGTGGGCTGCTGCTTTTCCAGCACAACTACCAACTGTTACGACGCAGTCGGATTTTTTAGACAGCGTCAGCCGAAAACAAATCCTACTTGGTATTTATTATTAACCAATGGCTAAGCTTGAAAAAGGAGAAGAAGAAACCAACACTTCATGTCTTTCAGTGTGACAAAGTCCAGAGTACTCTTGGAGTTTTGTCCCCCCCCCTTTTCAAAAGTGTGCATCTCTGAGCAGGTACAAAGCAGAAGCTCAGCTCTGAGTTCCTCTCTTCCTGAGTCCCCAGTGGACAAAAAACACAGGAGCAGCACAAGAACACAGCTGTCACTTGCCTTTAAACAACCACAGTCATAGAGACAGAGATGGGAGAAACTGATGGCCAGTTAGCCCAACTCCTTTGCCCAGATGCTCAACTTGTTTTATTGATTTACATCAGTCATACCCCGCCTTCCTCCCCAATGGGGACCCAAAGTTACCTCCATCATTCTCCTCTGCCCCATTTTATCACCGCAACAACCCAGGTTAGGCTGAGAGAGAACAGCTGGCCCCAGTTTCCACGGCAAGGCAGGAATTTGAACCTGGTACCGATTTCCCATGCCCCATCCTCGCTTTTCCCCCCCCCCCCCCCCGATTCTATGTGTCAATTTCCTGCCACTTGCTGCACGGCTGCATTTTGCCCCGCAGAGTCACCCGATTTCCCCCACGTCTTCTCGATCCTGTTTTTTGAGGATCGAGAAGACACGGGGGAAATCGAGTGACACTGCGGGGCAAAATGCAGCTGTGCAGCAAGTGGACGGAAATTGACACACAGAATCGGGGGGGGGAGGGAGGACGGAGCAGCGGCAAGTGGGAAATCGGTCTAGGTCTCCTAGATCCTAGTCTGACATTCTAATTTCTAACCACTACCATGGTGATGGTCACATCCTCCAGACTGCAATTCTGGCTGTCCCACTCAGGGTTTTTTTTGGGGGGGGGACTAAAAGGAGACACAACAGAGTTTGATCAAATTATGCCGGGGATGGACAGAGTAGATAGAGAGCTTTTTCTCCATCTCTCAGAATAGTAGGGCTCTTAATGAAGTTGACTGGCAGTAGTTTTAGAAAAGACAAAAGGAATTCTCTCTTCACACAACACTTAAATTGACTTGTGGGACTCACTGGCCATGGGATGGAACTCATTGCCATGGTTACACCTTGCTTAAATGGCTTTAAAGGGGAGTTAGTCAAATTCGTAGAGAAAAGGTCCATCAGCGTGATTAGCCACGATGTCTAAATGAGAGTCAGCAAGGTGTAGTGGTTAAAAAGACTAAGATCTGGGTGACCCAAGTTCAACCCCCCCACCACCACCATGGAAGTATGCCTGTTAACTTTGGACCACACTCTCTCTCTCAGCCTAACCTACCTCAAAGGGTTGTTGTGAGGATAAAATGGAAGAGGAAACAATGCTGTAAGCTGCTTTGGGTCCCACACTGGGGAGAAAGCAGGATATAAATATTTGAAAAAGAAATGGATGGAGGCAGTATACATCTGAATGTAAGCTGCTGAGGGAAGCAGCAGCAGGCTTTGGACTCTGCCCCTGCTTATGAGCTTCTCCAGGTACTTGCTTGGCCATTGTGGGAAACAGGATGCTAGACCAGCCAGTTCTTCTGTGTGATCCAACAGGGCTCTTCTAGCATTCTACCCCAGGGCAAGTGCACTTCTGGAAGTGCTTGCATAACCAACAGTTCTAAAAGTGGCCTCTCATAAGTTTATCGATTGCCACTCATTTGCAATGGTCACCAGTAGCAAGGACGAACCACCTTCAGGTTACCAGGCCAGCAAACATTTTGTGCATTGGAACAGAACTGGCTTTTCATTTCCCCCCCCTTCCTTTGAGACCATCAATGGACCATTTGTGAATAGTGTTAAGTATATACATTTGGGGGGGGGGGGGGGGTTTACAAACCTTATTTGCCAAACTGCTGTCACTCAGCTCCTGAGCAAAACCTGTTTACTGAGTCACCCTAGAGAACTATCTCCATGACATTCAGCATTCTGTCCCCAGCTGTGGCACTGCTTCATATTCCAGAGGAAGAAGACTTGTTGATGCTGGTGAGGAATCTTGAATGTTATATGTATTGGGAGGGGAAATCTCTCCTGACCTTATTAGGTCAAAGTTAATCAATCAGAATTCATGCCACAAGCATCCCTTTTCAAATTTAAACACAAATTTAAACCAGGAACATATCTTTTCTCCCTGAATGTGCTAGGCTAGCCTTTGGCACAAGCCTTAACCCCCGTCCCAGGTGAAATGATGCCTAAAGCCCACATAACTAAAAGGAATGCTTACTCTCTAACCATTTCACCCTTGCCTCCACCTTGTATCAAATTTTAGACTGTACATTACTCAGGACAGAGAACTCTCTTCTTGTATCCTGCAAAGTACATGCACATTAGTGGTGCCATAGAAACACTGTTTTAAAAAATCTACATTTCTAGAAGCTGAAATACATTCTGACTGGCCTCTAATGACGAGGAACGGATGATCAGGAACTCACTACCCTAGAGAGAGGGGACATTTCCCAAGGAAGACCAAAGCTGATCCTTTCAACAGTTAGCAGAGTATGTTGAAAAATTAGAAGCTGTGGTCTCGTGCCACTCACTTCAAATGGTGCAAGAGACATTCCTAGTAGGACTGGGACATCCTTGGCTACCAGCTCAGTAAGCAACTTGCGATTTGCTGGTAGCTCAATGAGAATGGAAACTCCTTTGTCTGCATGCCACAAGGAGGAAAATATCATAAAAGCCAATGGCATAAAAGGAGAACTCGTCTCAATACCTCCGTTCTTCTCAGCTTCATCCCGGATTAGGGGAGAGGTTAGGGTCACCTTGAGTGTTAGCGGAAGTTCCTTTGTGCTATGGATGATGATGGCTGCCTCATCCACGTGATGCTCAACGTGATATTTTTCTTCTGAGAGTTTCTGAAACAGTTCAGAAATGCTTGGCTGAGTTACTGACTAGACCCAGTGTACAAATGCACAAGTTTTACTTTACCGGCAGGGAACAGCATTAGGGCACCTAAATAATGGATCCCTTCCCAGCACAGCTGCTTTTACAAATTATCAGAAAGCTTTCTTATACTACTTTAGCTTTTAGTTTTTTCAAGGTGCTTTGGGTCAATCCAGTTCTTTCCCTCTCAGGTGTACAGCCCACTGATAGGTCCCTGTTATTGCAGCTTAGCACAATCACATATTTTTGCCATGTTTTTCTCAGCAAACTCATAAAAAGAGGAGTCCAAAGAAAGCTCTGTGTGCAATTAACTCAGCTTTCCAATACTGCCTCCCCAATACTTAAATGGGACTTCATTGAATAGAGGCAGTCTACCTCTGAATATTAACTATTGAGGGGGGAGCAAAAGGGAGAAGGCCATCATCTTTCAGATATTGCCTTCATTTTCCCAGAGGTATCTGACTGGCCACTGTTGGAAACAGAATGCTGGACAAGGTGGACCTTTGGCCTGACTCAAAACAAGGCCATTCTTAGGCTAATCACCAACTTGCAGGGCAAATTTGGAGTGGAGAGCAGAACCACAGTCACAAATTGTATGCTGGATGCAGCACACAAGCACACAACGATTTGCTGTGAGCCTGCAGAATTTCACTCTTTTGTCGCAAAAATGTCAGCTTTTGAACTGCATCAATTCATCACCCCTGGGGCTCAACATGGCAAGGGTACGTTGCAGAGAAAAGATCTCCCAAGCCGTTGCTCAGAGCAACAGGCAGAAAAAACAAAGCCACAAGGTGAGAACTTTGTACTGCTTGCTTGTGCTCACCTTCTCTGGAGACCAGCCTAGATCTTTTCTTCTTTTAAAGTACACCGTTTGTTCTGTGTACCCTTTAAAAAGGTTTCTATTTTTTCCCTTGGAGGATAATTCAGATAAGATTTCATTTTTTGCCCACGACAGCCAATGTTGAAAATACAGAACACTCTCACAGAGCCATTCATCACAACGGCAGGACTGCCCTAATTTTTTTGCTCACCTGGATTTGGATGGGGAGATTGTCTTTGACAAGAGATAATAAGGTCTCCGTGGGCTTCTCTTGGCACATAAGAACCAATTCCAAATCCATGTCGTCCTTTATCAGCAGCCCTTTCGCTACCAAGCCAATCCGCATCACCCCACACAAGACCCGGCTACCTTGGTCCCTGAAAACAGAAAAACATTTTTTTAGAACAATTGCCCTAATATTTTGCACACCCGGACAAAAAGAAATCAGCAATAATTCTGCTTCAAGTTCTTCACACAACACAAGAAATGTATTATGCAGGGTTCTGCAGTGAAGTCAGAGAGTTACACAAAAGAGAGATGAAGGGGGGCGATGATGATTAATAATATGCACAGACATTTAATATAGCAACTTTAAGGTGCAAAATGCAATATAATCTCCTCATGTTCACATTCCTGACAACCCAGAGTATCTTTAAAAGCACTGATTTAGGCTCAACGCTTGATACTAAGCAGGGTGGAGGGATGGAGGGGATTTAGCACTAACATATAATTTGTTCTAACAGTCTATTTTATGTTTTTATTTTGATTCATCTCTATTGCCACCCACTCTAGGCCTCCGAATTGGGATGAAGCAGGAAACTGAGAGAGCGCATTTGATGAGAATCATTTTCTCATACCCCAGTCACACTGCTGTGGGAAGCTGCACCAGTGGAATCAGCTGCCTTTAAGGACCACAGGAGGTGGTAGTTCCGCTCTATTCTGCTATGGTCAGGCCTCACCTGGAGTACTGTGTCCGGTTTTGGGTACCACATTTTAGGAAGGATGTTGACAAGCTCGAGCGTGTACAGAAGAGGGAACCAGGATGGTGAAAGTGTTGGAATCCAAGTTTTATGAGGAAAGGCTGAAAGAGTTGGGTATGTTTAGCCTGGGAAAGAGAAGGCTTAGAGGGGACATGATTGCCGTCTTCAAGTATTTGAAGGGCTGTCATGTAGAAGATGAAGCGGATCTATTCTCTCTTGCTCCAGACTGCAAGACTAGATCTAATGGGTGGAAATTACAAGGGTGTCGTTACCGGCTAAATATCAGGAGAAACTTCCTAAGAGTGGTTGAGCAGTGGAACAGACTGCCTCGGGAGGTGGTGGATGCTCCTTCGCTGGACGTTTTCAAGCGGAGGCTGGACGACCATCTTTCGGGTATGTTGTAGGGCTATCTTTCGGCTATGCTCCTGCAGAGTGCAGGGGGTTGGACAAGATGACCTGTAAGGTCCCTTCCAACTCTAACATTCTATGATTCTGTGACCTTAAACAGGATAGCAGTTTTATTCTTTCCCGAACAAGAATGCAGCTGTCCTTTACTGACGAGGGAGACAATGGACATCTTTACACTCACCCCACAAGTGCAGTTGCATTTCTCACCTACCAGAGGCCCTTGCACTTCTAGCATGGCAGGCAAATGATAAATATACCACAAAGTCTAGCTACTGAGGATCCTTTCTACTAGTATTGAATAGCTTTTACGTACCAACAGAGCGCTAACAGCTTTCTTTTGTCACACTGTTCTGAATCGTTTTCTTAAAATTCGAACCCTGTAAATTTTTACACGTCTCTAACCCAACAAGTTAATATTTTAAAAATTGTTTTTAATTATTTAAAACCTCAGAGGCAGTTCTCTGACTCTGCATGTCCAGAGATATATTACTTGTGTCCCAAATTTTATGACTCCAGAAAATCTTAGATATATTGTTGCTCCAGCCTGCTATCTCTCCTAGTTGGAGACTACAGGACAACAGAGGGCATTCTTGCTGGCAAGATGGCGAGTTCTCCCCTCTGCGGTGTTAGCTTGACCTGACTTCTGCTACCAAGGCCCAGAAGGAACTCATTTCCAAACTGTTAGCAGCTGCAAGACTAGCCATTGCTTCTGCCTGGAAAGCCAGTTCGGCTCCTTCAATTCAAACCTGGTTTGAAAAAGTGTGGGATCAGTTTATTTTAGACAAACTTACACAAGTCACGCAAAACACGGCTATGGTCATATCTAAAGGTTATGATCGGTTTGTTGCGGTCTGGTCAAGGGTTCTTCAATATATGTCGGAAAATAACATTCTTCCATCAAAGGCTTCCTACATCCCTTGGGTCCGTTTTTAACTATTTATCCATATAAAAAAGGTCATAGAGATGCTAACAAAATACTTTATGACTCTCTCAGGCTCAATTACCATTTTTGTTCATGAAGAGGGCTGAAATTAATCTCACTTTGGGTTGATTTTGACGGATGCGAAGGTTACTCTGTGGAATGTGTTGGGGTATCTTGTTTACTCCTTGTCTATTCTTGGATTTTACAGTTCTGTTTTCACTTCATATTCTGTTGTTTGACTGTAATGCGTTTTTTTCTTTGCTGTTCTGTTGCATTTCTTTCAATAAAAAATAATAATAATAAAAAAGATCCCCATGCAGGAGAGAATTTGCCCTTGTGGTGCCAGTGAGGTGAAAACAATCTAACTTGCTTTATTGTTACTTTTATCAGGAAATTCAAATTCACCTAAACATTATTTTTTCATTGCTTAGAAGGTTTCCTGGCCATTCTGACTATGATATTTTAAGCATGTTCCTTATGGGTGACAACCCTCAGACTACAGTCTGTTGTGCAAAATTTTTTGTGATGGCCTGTAAAATTCACCAGGAAATTTTGCATACTGAATTTAAATTCTAGCTAATTTTATAATTTGATTCTGTATATTGGTTATAATAGTTGATTTTTTTTTTTAGTTTTCTTCTTTTGTCTGTAACTTGTAATTTTGCGATTTGTGCTGGTCACTGACCGAATAAATCCAATTGATTGATTTTGCCTAAGTGTGGCTTTCATGACAACTAAGCTAGCCCAACAACCTTCATTTAATCTGAAGCAATGAGAGAACAGCTGATCTTCCTTGAAGGAAGCCTCTGGGCTAGTTTTGCTAACTTCTGTATTGGATAGGCATGGTATTTGCTATTTTTTTATGTGGACTCCACTATGCTGCGGATGGTTTAAAATTGCCAGAATCATACAACCATTATGGCTGAAACTGGCTTAGTCTAGGAAAAGTTTCCATCCTTTATAAAAACCCTGAGGAAAATACAAATACTACAGATGGTCTCATTGCTAAAGAACAGAGAATACTTCCAAACAAATTTTCCCCCCAGCTCCTGCAGGGGAAACAGTGTGGTACTTAGCTCCACACAAGTGCTGTTAGATGGTGAGCAACATCTGGAGATGGGTCTCCCCAGGGCTTGTTTTGTAGAAAAATCCCAGCAGGAACTCATTGGCATATTAGGCCACACCCCTGACAGTGTAGCTCATTAGCATATTAGGCCACAACCCCTTGAGTTGCCTGGGCAAGCCCCCCCCCCCCGAAGAGAACGGAAGGCAGTTTAAATTGCCTTCCCTTGGTTTGCCTGGGCGCCCCACGGCTGCATAGAGCCCAGGCAAGCCGGCCCTTGGACAGGACGGGGAAGGAACGGGGAAGCATTTAAATGCCTCCCTGATTCTTCCAGGGCCTCCCCTGGCCCGCCCGCCTCAGAGTCGCCGGGGGGGGGGGTCGCTCTCCAGACCTTCCCTCTGTAGCCACGCACACAGAGGTTTTGGCTGTAGTGGGTATTGTCCTGGGAACCGCCACTAGGCAGTGGCCAGGCATGCAGAGCTTGATTCCTAAAGAACAATAGAGGCTAGGCTCCTAAGGTCCAATAGGGGAACCAATACAAACCTTGGTGGGAGATTCAAACCCCCCAATGGGATCCAGGGGAGTTCCCTTGGATATGTATATAGTTGGCCACTTGGCCGTTTGTCTTTTGTAGTATGAAGTACTGAGTAAACACGTGTTCCTTATGTCGTTGTCCGAGTCATGATGTATCGAACTGAGTACTTTACAGTGGGCGTGGCCAACTCTGAAGCCAGCCGGAACTCCGTTCCTGTGCGTTCCTGCCCAAAAGATGCCCTGGGTCTCCCCTTTCTCAAGGACATGAGCAGGAAGTCTGCAACCAGCAGCTGGAGGACCAAGTTGCTCAGTTCTCATCCTTAAGGTCAATGCGTACGGTTGCTAGTAAGGCTCTATGACAACTTCTCACACTTTTATTTAGGTATCTAGCCCTAGCTTTTCTCCCCAATGGGAACTCAGAGGAGTTGACAATATTGTTCTCTCTGCACCCTTGGGTAATAGATTAGGCTGCGGGTGTGTGACTGGCCCAAGGTCACCCAGCAAGCTTCCGTGGCAAGAGTGAGGATTCAAATCTGGGTATTCATTATCCTAGTCCAGCACCCTGAAACACTACATCACACTGGCTCTCAACAGGAAACACACCCATGTTCAAAATAATCTTTAATACCCATTTCTCCTAATCCATATAGTAATGGCAAGAAGCAAATTGCAGAACTTTCAATCACTGGTCACAGAAGGCTGAGGAAGTATAAGAAGAGGGTTGGAGAAGGAGCTGAAAAAGTTTGAAAATGGTGGTGCAGAGACAGCACGTGCTCAGAGGGACTCCCCAACTCATCTCCTCCCTTCAAAATGCAGACCAAGCAAGGTAGAAGCATCTATCAAGTTCCCAAACATGCTCAAGCATGCACAAACAGCCAATGGGCAGGATCTACCACCTTGCTGCCTTTAGCAGCCAGACAAGAATGAGGTTTGTCCTGCTTTTGCTGCTCAAAGACTTCTTCCAATCACAACACATTTTCTGCTCTGCAGAAGCCAGGATATGAAATGATGAGCCTTTTTGCCGGGGGCGGGGGGGGAGGTGCAGGAGGTTTGGGGGATGGAGAGGGAGAAGAAAGACGTCACACAGTGATGCAGCTCTCTCTGACAGGCAGCACCTGGCCTTGCTGCAAGCTGTTCTGCAGTAAACTTGCTCTTTGTGGGAACATCTGGACACAGGCGCCTGCACACAAAAACTGCCCTAAATTTAGAATGAGCTCATGAAAAATCCGGTACAGAAAACCAGTAAGAAAAGAGACGCCAGGCTGCTGGAATATCTCAACAGCGCTCTGCACAAGCCAAGAGTTTGCACCAGAAGTGTTTGCAAAAAAAAAAAAAAAAGGCAATCAGTGCCTCATTTACTCCACAAAGGGAGAGGAGAAAAGCAGCCTGCCAGTACAGCTTGAGGAACGGCTCACGTGTCATGGGCTAGCTCCTCACAGAGGGGACAGGAGGCTGAAGATGACCTGCTGGTATGCAACAAACATGACTCAGCTAACTGGACTCCTCACCTGTCCCTTATTTCCGTTACCAATGCAGTACGTGGTCACATCAGTTTGAAGCAATCTGCAGCCTAATTTCATGCTAAAATATATGTAGACATATTTTATCCTTGTGCAATTCCAACTATCCCCATGCCGGCTTCACACAAAAAAGTGCTTGACTTAGAGAAGTGTTGGGGGAAGGGAGACACTGAAGGTGATGTGGGGGGGAAACATTTCAAAGGTTTCTAGAAGAGGACAATGATTAATATGGAGACATTCATCCTGTCCTGACCCCTCAACTTGCTTTCAGCTACTGCTACAAATGGAAGCCACACACATATCTGGGTAGAAGCCACCTGCCTTGGGTGTGTTATCCACAAATAGCCACTATGCAAATTTGTTCTTCCCACCTCAGTACTCTGTGACAGAAATTAAGCGCTGGGTAAGAAGAGAAGCACCAGGAGGTTCAAGTCTAACTACAAAGCCTGTAATCCACAAGCCCCTTCCTCTCACCCCAGATGGGTGGTTATAATTACTTAGAGGTGAAGCAAAGGCACTCTGCGTATGTCCAAGCAATCCTTTCTGCCCTGGGATCATGAAAAGCCTGTTGCAACTAAAAGGTTGCAACCAATGCAAACTGAGTCACTGTGGATAGGGAATTACATGGAACAGACAGAAGAATAACCTGAGAAATTAGGTTGGCTTTAACTACAAGTTTGGAACTCGCTTTTGCAAATGAGGCCGCATTATTCCTTACACTGTAGGCCAGGAGGTACCAGTGTGCAACAAGATGGGCTGAAAAATGATGCTACCCTGCCTCATGCATCCACTACTCTTTGCCTTCAGGAGTGGAACAGCCATTGACAGTGGTGATTCTCCTCCTTTCTCTGCCAATACATGAAAATGAGGATGCACCCCCCACTCTGTTATGCAGTCTGCGTTAGAGGAATCCCAGAAGCATCCCAATTACTCCAAAAGCAGGTGCCAACCCTGAGTCCTGAATGACCAGGCAAAGGGGGGCATTAACTGGACTATACCGCAGCAGCCCACCTGAAACATTATTGATCGTACAGGATTAACATTACTATAAAGAAAGCATGGGTTGGATCCTACCAGCTTTCTGTTGGTGGAAATGGATCATTCCTTGCTTCCCCAATCTCCTAGAAGTTCCTCTGACTCTCCCAAAGAGATATGCTGGGGACAGGTGGAGCCATATGGACAAAACCTACATGGGATGGAAGGCTATAGCCAGGAGGGGAATCGGGCATAACTACCCCCTCCAGCAAAATCTGGTAGGAAAGGTCTCTTGGGCAACTCAATCTACATGAACACAAAGGCTCATGTGTGGGAGACAGAACACAGTTCAGTAAATGCTTTGGTTCCGTCTCCAGCAGCGTTCCCTCTAAGCTGAGTTAGTGTGAGCTAGCTCACAGTTTTTTTAGCCTCCAGCTCACACGTTTTTGTCTTAGCTCAGGAAGGATGGCTCCAGCGCAAATTAATTTATGCAGCAGCCAAATCGCTCGCTCACAAGTTTAATGCCAATAGCTCACAAGGTAGAATTTTTTTCTCACAAGACTGGGCTAGATCAATTGATGGTCTGACCAGGCTGAAGTTAGTTTCATGTTCTCATGCAGATATACTCTCAAGCAGTAACTGCAACCAGAAAACACCAAGTACCAACTCAACTACAAATGTTGCCAACAGTCCTCTTAATGAAATGCAAGCACTTTGGGCTGGTAAAGGAGGAAATACATATTAAAATATTAATATGCAAAAAACGCCACTTTGAATTCTTTAACATGAGCATCATTAATTACAAGTTCAGCAG